TATTATTATTATTATTATTATTATTATTATTATTATTATTATTATTAAGGTGACTTGCTTCAGATTTGTTGTGTTCAGCAGCCTCAGCTGTGTTCACCCTGACTCTGAGCAGACACACTCAGTCTGTTTGTGGGTCAAAGCTCCAGCTCATCTTTTAAATTTTTTAAATTGAAAAAGGAATTACTTTTAACGTCTTCATTCATTCATTCAACCTTTATTATTATTTATTATTTATTATTTATTTATTTAACAGTGCCTGTGAGGCTCTGTATTCAGATCTGTCTAAAGGATTAAAGCGCTGTATTTTACATATTGGCTTCATTTTTCTGACCTGGATGCTTGCTTTACAATTTAAATCTTTATCTCATATTATCTTATCTCTAGCTTTATATTTGTCTAAAATCGAATCTGTATTATTATTATTTCAGCATGTTCAGGCTGCTGTTGTTACGTCGTATTATTTTAAATTACTAGTGTTTAGTGCATATCTTAGATCTTTTAGCATACTGTTTGGCGTTTGTTTAGCGTATATCTTAGTGTATATCTTAGAGCCTTATATACTGTTTCTTTTTACACTTTATATTTTTGCTATTGTTGGGTATAACGGATCCTGAGTACCTTTTTTTTTCTACCTCTTGTACCTCATGAATGACAATAAAATTGACTTGAACTTGAACTTGTAATCTTTTCCCTCCTTTTCTTCTTTGTCTTTTTCCTCCATCTGCTCTGTGCCAATCACTCAGACCCGCATGGTCCATCGTTCACCATCGGTAAGGCCATATGGCTGCTGTGGGGCCTGGTGTTCAACAACTCTGTGCCTGTGCAGAACCCGAGAGGCACCACCAGTAAATTCATTGTGTCCGTTTGGGCCTTCTTCGCTGTCATCTTCCTGGCCTCCTACACTGCCAACCTGGCTGCCTTTATGATCCAGGAAGAGTTTGTGGACCAAGTCACTGGACTGTCCGACAAAAAGGTGGGGTTACACAAGGATGAACACACACACACGTGCAGAGGAAACTAAACACATTCGCAGTCAGGTTGCTCTTGTAATGGATGCCAGGCCTGCGGCCAGACAAGACTCTCTGGGGAGTGCCCTCGGGCTTCACAGCCCAAACCCAGTGGCCGAAGCTGTCACCTCACTAATGCTGCCAGCACGGTAGACCTACGCACACACACTCAGGCTGCAGAGATCAAAGGCGTGTGTGTGCCGTTTGCAGAGCCTGGCAGTGTCAGCAGAACCCCAGCCAGTCTTACACTAGACTGGATACACAATGATGATGACTGATGAGTACTCTCTGCTGTCTCCCCCTTCTCTTATTTCTTCCGTCTCCTCTTGTCACTTTACTCTCTTCCTGCCCTCCTCCTCTGAGCACCTCCTCCACTTTTACTTTTTTTTTTTTTTCATCACTGCTCGGGCTTCTTTTTCTCTCTTCATTTTCTTCCATCTGCTGTCACTCGCTCCTCCTTTTAACTCGCGTCTTTTCTTTCCGTGCTCTCGTCACATGTTATCATCAGCCTTTTTAAATAACTGGCACCCTCTTTTCATTGTATTTCTCTCCGCACAGTTCCAGAGTCCATACTCGTACTCCCCACCTTTTCGCTTTGGGACGGTTCCCAACGGCAGCACCGAGCGCAACATCAGGAAGAACTATCCGGACATGCATCAGTACATGATCAAATACCACCAGAACGGCGTCCAGGATGCACTGATCAGCCTCAAGACAGGGTAAAGTAAACGTGCCAAGCCGACTCGCGTCACGTTCTGATGTGCACACCTGAGGGTGCGGTTTCTGCAGACAGCACATATGTTTAAGGACATGGGAAAATAAACAAAACAGACTTTTTGCAGCACACAGAAAGCCAACCCTATGGCGACCGGCGTTAGCTCCTGCTAAAACTCTGTAATCGCTCTGTGGAGTGTTTCTGTCTGTGACAGTAACACACACACCTACACACACCATTTGCAAATGCTCATTATAGTTTTGTGTTGCTGCTGGAAACAAAAGGAAGCTGCCAAAACAAAGAAACTGTAATTTGCTCGGGAGTTATCTACCTTTTTTTCCCCTTCTGCACTCAAAAAAAGTCAGCACAGCTTTTAATGTGTTCTGTTATTTTTATGAGCTTTCAATAGATGGATGGATCTGTTGTTAAGTATTTTAGCAATATACAATTTTAAATTTTGCTTTTGCATTAATTACCGTACTTTCCGCTGTACAGGTTGCAATGTCGTATAAGTTGCATCAGTCCAAATATGTCTAATAAAGTGGGAAAAATCATAAATATTTGGCTTTGCTATATAAGTTGCATCTATTATGCGTCACAGCTGACCACCTGGAAATGTGGGCTGGTGTTGTGCCAAAAATCGATTGGCTCGAAATCTTGCCTGCGGGAGCGTGCACGAGAGGACTTTAACAAGAATATATCTAGATTAACACTTAAAAAATATATATTTTTTGCTCGAAACTATAACAAATGTGAATCTCAGTCGAACTTTTCCTTAATAAATGCACTATATAAGTCAAATCAGCTGCATTTCAAAAACTGATTCGTGGAAGCGGGATTGCGCAGTGGGAGGACTGGCTGTGCGTCAAAATGAAACAAGATTAACACCTAATAACAATTATTTGTTTTATTTATTAACCTTTATTTAACCAGGCAAATCCCATTGCGATCACACATAACTTTTGCAAGGGAGACCTGGGCCTGAAGGCAACCTAACATGCAAGTGTTTGATCTGTGGGAGGAAACTGGAGTACCTGTAGAAAACCCACGCATGAGAAGAACATGCGAACTCCACACAAAAAGACCCCAGGTCCAACCGGGGATTGAACCCAGGACCTTCTTGCTGCGAGGCAACAGTGCTAACCACTGAACCATGTATGCTCGACATTATAGCAAAGGTGTGTCTCAGGTGAAATTTTCCTTAATAAATGCACTTTAATGGTCAAATCAGGTGCATTTCACCTGGGAGGTGCAGCGAAATGCAACTGATTTGATGTTGGCTCCAGGAGTTCCAGAGCGAGACGAAGGTGTCTTGGTACGGCAAGCCAAGTGTCTCATTAATAGAAATTTTAAAAAATTAATGAGACACTTGGCTTGCCATATTAGTCAATGGCCCTCTAGTGGCTGGAAATGGTAGTGTTCAATATTTTCCATGTCAGAATGAATGAAATCGTCAGATCTCAGACAAAAATTGGTTTATAAATATGGGGTAAAAAACATAAATATGTCGCTTCACTGTATAAGTCGCAGGGCGTGCAAATGTATGCAAAAAGGTGCAAATTATACAGTGAAAAGTACGGTAATTTATTGATCCTGTGTACCAAACGGGCGAGGTTTGTTTCTAAAGTCTCATAGATTAGATTTGTTTATACAACATCAAAACTTTATAATGAACATGTCTGGCAGACTCATCAATATTTCACCAACTTCATAAGCACAGTTTGTTGCAGGAAGAAAATTTGAGCACTTTTCTGTGGCACAAAATAAGCAAACCCAATGCTTTCTGTACTTAAATCAATTTATATTGTTTTCCAATGCTGCACGTCATAAAATGAATAAAAAGTAATTGCAGCAGCAGATAAAACACGCATTCATTAAATATGTGCCCTTTGGATGAATTTAAAGTGTTTTACATTCATGCATACATATTTAAAATAGAGGGCTGCAGGGTGTATTCATTCAATTACAGAAAACCATATTTAAAAAAAAAATTCCTAATAGAGTTTTTTTCTACTACACTGAAAGGTTCGAACGGTTTCTGTGTTTCAGACTCTACTGGGAGACTTCCGTGTCTGATATGAAATTGTTTTCTTATTACTTTTTGACAACGTAATAACAAAAGCTGCAGGTAAAACTGTAACAGATCTGTGTGAACAAAGGCATCTCATTTCAGCAAACACATACATACACTCTAAAGTGTCTATAGCCCATATCAGATTTGTGTGAAAAATATCAGCTCAGTGAATATGGAGCGATACAAGTCTCTATCTGAGTCTGCTTTTAATGGCAGAAGACTTTATCTGCAGCTGGATCAGCAGTGAGCACTTTGTTTTTAATCATTGAAGCCTGCTGAGTCCAGCTTCACATAAATCACAGGAATATTTCATGAACCAGTGGACAGATTTTAATGAAACTATCAGAAAGCAGTAGTTTGATATGTATCTACGTTTGATTAACAGAGAAGTCAACACCACTGAATATGGACGCCACAACTAAGTGACTTAGCAAACTTAAAAATAGCTATAACTCAACCAGTGTTTATAGATACTCATCTAAAATTTGATGTAGATGTAGCTTTGAGTCATTCCCCATCAACGTTCTGAGCTGTAACTGATCCTGCAAGACTAGTTTTGGGGGATAATTGTTAGATGTACGTTTACCACTTGTTAGCATTTGGAATGAACCCAATTCAAGATGGCTGCTACAGCTTATTGACTTACTGACAGTCACAGACAAATGAAAGTTTTCCACATACAACATAAAAGGCTGACAAGTGTTCCAAAAACTTTTGACAGAACCCTTCAGGGTATGTCTGATTTTTTTCCAAATGAATATGAAACATCACTTTTCTTATCCAGTGAACATATGCTGGGGTGTGTGGGTCCTTCCAGTTGCACAAAACAAGTCTTCTGACCAAGAGAGAGCCGAAAGCATCCCCATCCTTCTTGTACTTGCTGAAGGATGTATCCACAGGAACCACCCCAAACAGTGAGATGTACTATGGTGATGGGTGTACAGTTTTTCCACAGAGAAGGTGGCAAAATAGATTGCCAAAAGGTCTGCAGTTTGGGACAGGTCCATAATTTGTGCAGGAGCATAGTTGGAGTTTGTTTACAATGATTACATGCGGGGTCCAGGTCGGCTTTGATCTTGGACAGCTTGTCTTTGGACCGGTGCAGTCGGTGCACCACCTTGAATTGAATTACAGCGCGTCACAGACAGATTGAAGATGAGTAAATGTTCTTAATGATCCTTCTCCAGATTGAGTCCGATATGGATTCCTCCAGGTCTGTTTCCCATTTCAGTTTAAGGGAGTCCAGATTGAACTCATGTTATGAATCAGGCAGTGTTTAGATTTTACTGAGCCCCCTTGGTATCAGACCTGCACTCCAAAATCGTTGCCACAAAATGTTTAGACAGGCACAAAGGAAAACAGTCAGAGTTAGACATCACAAAATGTCTCAGCTGCAAATATCTGAAGAACTGTGACTTGTAAACCTTAAACTTCTGTACCAGCTGCTCAAAAGAGGCAAATCTACCATCAATATATAGATCATATAGAATTCTGGGTCTTTAATATATATTTTTCAAGTTTTTCACACTAAAATCTTTGAACGTTAAAGGAGACAAAAAGGGAAAAAATAACAAAGTTAATATTTGGAATGAGTAAGATAATTATTTTTGCTGTCTTAGGTAATATTGACTCAAGACCTTCTAGTAAAAATATGGCTCATCCATGGGTGCACATTACGTACTGTTGCAAAAACTGAATTACAAAAAGTGAATGAATTAGTCAGCTAATGATTTATTTCCTTCTCGTGTTGTGCAGTTTAGGAGGAACTGAGGTGTTTCTGCGTAAAAGTGCAGCATTTATTGTTGATCATTCCTCTCTAAACCTGCACATTAAATGCATACAGTGCAGTGCTAAAACCTTCTGGACATGGTGTGCATGTGTGTTTGTACAGTTAGAGGACGGATTGAACCAGAAAATGTGAGAAAATGGGCAAAAGTGACTTCATTGTGCCAACAGTTCTTCGGGATCATTTACTGTAACCGTTCTCTGGAGAAAGTTGCTGCTTCGGTTTTTTTCTCTGCCGACCTACATGTTACATTTCCAGATAATAAAGCAAATATGTTTGGATACTTTTAGCATTTATATGAACTTAAAAACAGTCTATAGGAAGCCTCACCCACCATTTAACAAGTGCTGCAAAAGAAATACAGCCATTTTCATTTCATACTTGTTTTTTACTTTATATTTTGCATCCTATGCAGTCTAGGCTGACAGACTTTCACACACCTTTATCTCACACCCTTTTCCTTGTACTTCACACTTTGAAACACACCAAAATACAAGAAATGATATGTTCCTTCCTTCTTTTAAACAGTACAGAGGTTGCAAGTTTTTATAATGAGCTCCAAGTTGTTCAACGTAATTAACCTATATAGACTGATTGAAACTGCAGTGCACACAGTACAAACACGTCCATTTACTTTCCTTTGTATGACCATTTTTAATCACTACCACATTCAAACATAATTTATCTAATTTAGAGGCAAAAATATATCAACCCAGTTCAGTAAGTTTATTTTTTGAATGATACAGTTTAATCATTCCGTAATAGAAGCTAAAATAATGACAATAAATAGTTGTATGGCTTTACATTTTAAGTAATGCCATATAATTAAATGGTCAAAAACCAGAATGTATAAACAACAACAAAATCAGCGCAGCTGATGTATTAACCACCTGGTAATTAACTCTTGTAAATGCAGGGAATTGTTTTAATAAACTGAGACAGTTTAAACGTTTGATATTTTTCAAGATAACACCTTAAAAATGAACTATCACAAACTGTAGCAGAACTGCAAATGAGAAAAATATATCAGAAAAAAATAAAATCTCTGGGCTCCAAATGAACAACATTTTTTCTAAATGATTTTTGTTGAGTTCCATTTGCTTCAGTCAGTTAACAATACTGAAGGCTTTCTTCAAAGGTTAAAGGTGGCAGATTTTTAGACGACAAACCCAAGGTGCAGGCCGACACAATGAATGACAAGGAGGATGATTTTAAATGGGCTTTAAAAAGCAAATAATACCCCCAACAGGGGCAATTCTAGAATTTGACCTTAAGGGTGCTTAGCCCCCCAGTGCTGACAATAGCTCTTGGCTTGAACAATACGGTGGCCATTGGCATCAAAAGCATTTGTAA